CCTCCCACCCCACCTTTCCTTCTCCCACCCCACCTTTCCTTCTCCGCCCTATCTTTTTCCCTTTCCCCAAAAACATATACATTAGTTTTACAATATGTATTGAGGAGAGGACTCTATTAAGTTATAATAACTTGTTGTCCGATCCATTGGTATTTTTGTATAATAAAATATGTTTAAACTAAACTGTAACGCTCGCTGTAGGATATGTCTGATAAGTGTATTTCGCTGTGTACATTCCATTCGGATCTGTTGGGGATAGTGTACTTGAAAAAAATGGCTTATTTAAATAATAACTCAACATTATCTGTCATTGTATGGATCATTATGTTCAAAGCTACAATATGAAAAGAATTCGTACTTTGTGTGTAGATATTAGTCAGTAGTTAGTTTGCTCCAATTATGATATGTTTACTATTAGACGCTCCCTGTGAACAGTAATTGTAGTAGTGTAGATTATAATCTTTTTTTATACTTCAGATTGTGATATTTTCATATTGTATTTTACGAAATATTTATACTGTAGATTGAAAGTTTTATTTACTCTAGATTAACACAGTTTTATATCATTTATTTTATTATATTTATACTGTAGATTGTAACAAATGAAAACTGTAGGTTGTGATACATTCATACTGTAGATTGTAGTATTATATAATTATTGTAGGTTGTAATACATATATATTGTAGATTATAATATTTTCATACTGCAGATTGTAATATATTCATATTTTATATTGTAATAGTGTATACTGTAGATTATAATATTTTCATACTGCATGCTGTGATATATTCATATTGCATATTGTAGGAGTGTATACTGTAGATTATAATATTGTATACTGTAGAGTGTAATAGTGTATACTGTAGATTATAATATTTTCATACTGCAGATTGTGATATATTAATATTGTATATTGTAATAGTGTACTGCAGGTTGTAATATATTCATATTGTATATTGTAATAGTGTATACTTTAGAGTGTAATATTGTAAACTGTAGAGTGTAATAGTGTATAATATAGAGTACAATATTGTATATTGTAGAGTGTAATAGTGTATACTGTAGAGTGTAATCGTGTATACTACAGAGTGTAATAGTGTATACTGCAGAGTGTAATAGTGTATACTGTAGAGTGTAATCGTTTACACTGTAGAGTATATTAGTGTGTATACTGTAGAGTGTAATAGTGTATACTGCAGAGTGTAATCGTGTATACTACAGAGTGTAATAGTGTATACTGTAATAGTATATACTGTAGAGTGTAATAGTGTATACTGTAGAGTGTAATAGTATATACTGTAGCGTGTTATAGTGTATACTGTAGAGTGTAATAGTGAATACTGTAGAGTGTAATAGTGTATACTGTAGAGTGTAATCGTGTATACTGTAGAGTGTAATAGTGTATACTGTAGAGTGTTATAGTGTATACTGTAGAGTGTAATAGTGAATACTGTAGAGTGTAATAGTGTATACTGTAGAGTGTAATCGTGTACACTGTAGAGTGTATTAGTGTGTATAATGTAGAGTGTAATAGTATATACTGTAGAGTGTAATAGTATATACTGTAGAGTGTAATAGTGTATACTGTATAGTGTAATAGTGTATACTGTAGAGTGTTATAGTGTATACTGTATAGTGTAATAGTGTATACTGTAGAATGTACTAGTGAATACTGTAGAGTGTATTAGTGTGTATAATGTAGAGTGTAATAGTATATAGTGTAGAGTGTAATAGTATATACTTTAGAGTGAAATAGTGTATACTGTAGAGTGTAATAGTGTATACTGTAGAATGTACTAGTGAATACTGTAGAGTGTATTAGTGTGTATACTGTAGAGTGTAATAGTATATACTTTAGAGTGTAATAGTGTATACTGTAGAATGTAATCGTGTATAATGTAGAGTGTAATAGTGTATAATGTAGAGTGTAAAAGTGTATACTGTAGAGTGTAATAGTGTATAGTGTAATAGTGTAAAGTGTAATAGTGTATACTTTAGAGTGTAGAGTGTAATAGTGTATACTGAAGAGTGTAGTAGTGTATACTGCAGAGTGTTATAGTGTATATTGTAGAGTGTAATAGTGTATACTGTAGAATGTAATAGTGTATACTGTAGAGTGTAAAAGTGTATACTGTAGAGTGTAATAGTATATACTGTATAATGTAAAAGTGTATACTGTAGAGTGTAATAGTATATACTGTAGAGTGTAATAGTATATACTGTAGAGTGTAATAGTATATACTGTAGAGGGTAATAGTATATACTGTAGAGTGTATTAGTGTGTATACTGTAGAGTGTAATAGTGTATACTGTAGAGTGTAATAGTATATACTGTAGAGTGTAACAGTATATACTGTAGAGGGTAATCGTGTATACTGTAGAGTGTACTAGTATATACTGTAGAGTGAAATAGTGTATACTGTAGAGTGTAATAGTGTATACTGTAGAATGTAATAGTGTATACTGTAGAGTGTAATAGTGTATACTGTAGAGTGTAATAGTGTATACTTTAGAGTGTAATAGTGTATACTTTAGAGTGTAATAGTGTATACTGTAGAGTGTAATAGTGCATACTGTAGAGTGTAATCGTGTATACTGTAGAATGTAATAGTGAATACTGTAGAGTGTATTAGTGTGTATACTGTAGAGTGTAATAGTATATACTGTAGAGTGTAATCGTGTATAATGTAGAGTGTAAAAGTGTATACTGTAGAGTGTGATATTGTATAGTGTATAGTGTAATAGTGTATACTGTAGAGTGTAATAGTGTATAATGTAGAGTGTTATAGTGTATACTGTAGAGTGTAATAGTATATACTGTAGAGTGTAATAGTGTATACGGTAGAGTGTAATAGTGTATGCCGTGGAGTGTTATAGTGTATACTGTAGAATGTAATAGTTTATACTGTAGAGTGTAATAGTGTATTATGTAGAATGTAATAGTGTATACTGTAGAGTGTAATAGTGTATACGGTAGAGTGTAATAGTGTATGCCGTGGAGTGTTATAGTGTATACTGTAGAATGTAATAGTTTATACTGTAGAGTGTAATAGTGTATTATGTAGAATGTAATAGTGTAGACTGTAGAGTGTAATAGTGTATACTGTAGAGTGTAATAGTGTATACTGTAGCGTGTAATAGTGTATACTGTAGAGTGTAACAGTATAAACTGTAGAGTGTAATAGTGTATGCCGTGGAGTGTACTAGTGTATACTGTAGAGTGTACTAGTATATACTGTAGAGTGTAATATTTTATGCTGTAGACTGCAATAGCTTGTACTGTAGAATGTAATTCTGTAAACGCTTATTTTAGCGGACTCAAACGTTGATGAATCTACCTACTCATAATACATGCAATATTAACTGTACTTACAAAATCTTTGATTAGCATAATCATGATTTATCCCAAAACTAAAAGCGCAAAATTTGCTTAATTAAATAACGATACTGCTTTAATATATCCGTTTACATAAGGTTTATAATGAAAACTGTACAATTTAATAGTTTTATGCTGTAGATTGTAACAGGCTTATACTGAAAACTGTTATAAATTTATGATATTGATTGTGATAGATTACAGATTTAACAGTTTTATACTGCAGATTTTGGTGAATTTAAACTGAAGATTTGGTAAATATAAACTGAACATTGTAATAAAACTTATACTGAAGACTGTAATAGTTGTTTGCTGCATGCACTATGTTGATTGTAGGTTATTTATACTAAAAATCACGATTAATTCATACTTCAGATTTTCATAGATTTATATTGTTATGATTTATACTGTAGATGTAAATAGTTGCTTAGGTTTCAGTTTACATGTTGGTCAGGTTATGAGATGATACTCTAATAAATAAATTTACCTGTCCTTTACTTGATTACCACCTGACCATAATGGTAACGTATATTTACAGTATATTTCTGTGAATGGCTCCTAACTATCTGTCACATTAATCTGGTCGGCAGATACAAATTTCATTATAAAAAAACTACATGAAACGTGCCTCGCCTTGGTAAACTCTGCCGACATCACTAATTTGATGACGTAGGTAAAAGTATACCTCCACTCGCATGTATTATTGTCATCGTCATGGAAACTTGTCATGTTCTACAGTAAGATAATGAGATGAAAAAAAGCGTTTACGGAAACAGTTATTATCGGGGGAATATCAGTGCAGACTGTAAGTACGTGTATGTACCGTAGATTGTAATATGTGTACACTGAAGATTGCTTATATCGTGCACACACTTCTTTTCGTGACATGATCTTTATGTATTCATTCGCAATAACTTTACAGTGCATGCTAGCTTCAATCTAAAACGAACAATAAACCGGACAGTTTTGATTTTCCCTGTCGTCTTTTCCCTTTCTTGATAGTAACATACCAGCTCACCCGACCTACGGTGTTTGCATTTCACTATCGATTCGGTGTTTAAGATCATGCTCTGAATATTCTACATGTATTATCGTGATAAATGTCGACTGTTGACGGACAAACTTACAACACAGCTTTCCAAAAGATGCAGGTTGATATAGGGAAAACAACATGGCACACTTACAATTAATATGAGCATAAAAAAAACATCGACCTTCATACTGCAGAAAGAATTAGTATAATTCCCTATAAGATCCTAATTGCGACCTTAAAACATGTCCTCCGTAGTCTTCATAAACTTGATATATAACAGCTCTGACCAACCAGTAAGAAACATATTCTAATTGAATTTCAACAACTACGTATACAGTACCATTGTTTATACAAACAATTATTATGAATGCCTCCAAATTTGAAAAGCCAGGTTATCTAGAAGATCCTGCTATTGTATTGCCTGTTGATATATTTCTGTTTGGTGTTTTTTCTTACCTTGATTTTATTTAAAAATGATTCATTGTCTGGTGTTCATAATAGAAGGTGTTTATGATAAAAATAATAGATAACTATGAAATATCAATATTCCTTTCAGGTAACGTGTTTGTCGGTATACATCAACGCTCAAAACAGGGTACCTATTGATCTACTACCCCACTGCGATGGGCAACATGACGCGTTGGAAGACTTGTTCACCATCGTTCCAGGACTTTCCGCCTTAAAAAGAGCTTCTACATCTCATCCGTACGAAGGAAGGCTGCTTCGGAGATTTTCCGGTCCTTTCTCTGACAACATTCCCCTGCCTTGGACATGTAGCATGACACCAATATGGCGGGATCTTGGCGAAGATTACTACCCGCGCTTTGTTCGAGATGGCACGTGCAATAACAGAACATGCTGGTACAGACATTACGAGTGTCAGCCAGTCTTATATACGTTAAGTGTTTTAGAGAGACAGAATAGCGAATGCTTTGACCAGTCCCTGCCCAGAACACTGTCAACGGCATGGAGACAGCGAGCAGTAACAATAACCAGCAGCTGTATGTGTCACAGGGTGTGATTTGCAACAAACATTTGGTTAGGAAGAAACCGTTTGTTTCCGCTAGACATATATATATATTTATATATTACCGGAATATTAGAGTGAATAAGGATAACCATATTACTTATATAACATCCGGTCTGCTGTTGTACTATCCTATAAATATACATATATACTAAACAAAAACAAAAACTTTAAGATTTCAAGTACTTTGTTTCCAAAATGCCTGAAATCTAAGGGTATATTTTTGCCTTTTAACCCAGATATCTTCATTCTGATTCAACGGTGTTGTTGGACTCCAAAGACCCGACAATTCATTGGCATACACCTTCCTGGGGTAGTATCTATGAACCAGTTCTCATGCTCAAGCATGGATTTTGTGCTCAAGCCTAATTTCTTTTTCTGGTTATAAATCAATAAAATTCTTAAACTGTAAATGATTTGGAAAACATTTGAAGAGACTGAGAGCCGAAAATTGTTTTCAATATTTACATTGGACTATTTGACCGTTTGGCATGATTTAAGCCATTTTCAAGGATATTGGTTTGAGCACAGAATCTTTGCTTGAGCATGAGAACGGTTTCATCAATATGGACCCTTCTGTCTAAGAAGACTATTTGAGGAATGGATGCACAACTAATACCAAGAATAGCTCCTGCTGTTTCTATGGCCGTTCGAAAACGATGGCTCAAACGCGCTACCCATATAGCGCGATATTGACGTCACGTTGTCACTCGTTGGCGACCACTCCGCGGACAATTAGCAGTGGAATCATTGTTCTGCAATTGCATAACCAAACAGTGAATGGTCGATATAGTCACATCTTTAACAGTGTGCGGTAAGTGCGATTACACGTAGCCTTTGACGTTCTCAAAGTCAGGCCATTTAGATATTAATAGCAATGCTAAGATTACAAAGTTTCAGAATTGCAACTTTAAATTGTTAATAGTACACCGAGTCTATCCGTTGTTCCAAAATTGCTTTGTTCGAGTAATCCACGAGCCCGTGGTTACAGTTGAATGATTTTACCTATTACATATTGAATACAATGCCTCTTTGACAATGTCCGTGTCATTACTGAGTTTATATACGGTGTGTAATATTAATATGTAGCTTGTGTCACTTTTAGTCGTTGACTTACGTTCAATAATTTTTTGTAAACGTTGATGAAAATAACAATCTACCAATTTACATGTACAACTGTTTGATAACTTAGAGTTTTATGGAATTTCATCTCTAATAATGAAAATGTGTATTAGCTTTCCGTAAATAGTTATAAAAGATGCAAGCATTTTTGTTTTATTCATTAACATCTGTATCAAGGCATAAAATAAAACAAAGTTGAGGGAGTCAGATGGATTACATTTTTTCATCTATTTGAAAATATTCTCGTGTGCCTTTTTAATGAATTAAATATACGACGTTTAATACCATTTCTTGATTTTCAACGATAACTGCGGTCATTAAATAAAATACTGAGAGTCATTTCTTAAGCAAACTTCTTGTACATCTGTACAGGATACGAACAAAGAAAAGAATCAAAACATCGATTAACAATGCAGAAAATTGAAAGAAACCACAAATTCTGGGACATAAGGAAAGTATTAACTAGGTCTGTTTTCGTTTATCGCGATCCAAACGGTTAAATAGGTTGTTTTCGTTATAAATTGATAATAAAATCTTTATTTTGTCAAAGGGGAATTTCTATTTGTCTAATCAATCACTGTTAATAGAAAAAACAGTTTTCACAGACTATTTCTCAAGCGGACTTTCAGAAACTAAAGGGAATCATCATTAAGGGAAATTGCCATCGGACAATATAGATAAAAGGACTACATGAAAGACGGCGAGCGGACCAATCACTTGGTCAGAAAAGTAACCGACGAACGAAAGAAGCAAGAAAGGGTCCATCATGAACAGGCTCGACCGGACTTTGTGACGCCTTGTTTGCCACGTGCAGTGAACGATAGAAATTAACTCCCCCGTAAGATAGTGATATCCACACTTCCGCTCAGGGAAAGATATAAAATCAACGTTTATATTTCATGAAATTTGCAATTGGATTTGACGTGGGAGAAAAATAATAATTCCCCACTTTAGGAGTAAGACAGAAATATCTCAACCGCTCGGGGCAAGAATCTTTAAAGGCCCTCTGCAAAGCATCTGGCTAGACATTTAAGAATCTGACCCCTTGGGTTGAGATTTTTGCTGTCTTACCCAAAAAGTAGAAAAAGACTATATTAAATCTTCCATGGGCAAGACGTCACAATAGAAAGACAAAGAAATGAAGTCATGCAGCAACAAGTTTTACATCATTTCAATCTTTTTCGCTGATGGTTTTTTTCATTTTTTTTTCATTTCAAGCATTTTATCTTCATTTTTTGCATTCTTATTTATAAATTGAAGTTAATAGTTTTTGTAAACACCAAACTTTGATGCGCTCTTTCCAACGAAATAGATCATTTCAAAACCGGTTAAGTCATAAAGTAAAAGTATTAAAGAGATTTTTGTTTTGTCTCAAGATGGCGGCTACATCTTAATGTAATAAATTGGAAGCGATGTAAGAAAATTATCATAATTATTTATCATAAATACATTATGTAGGATAACAATGCCCAAACTTGGGTAAATAGTTTGGATTCAAAAACCTCGGAAAGCCTTGATTGTTACCGCAAATTCTGTACTTCTAGTTGGACATTTCTATCCCCACATGTTAAAGAGACCGATACTCTTTGTACATAAGCAGAGATGTGTTAGCGTCATTTAGCTAACCCAAATCACAGTTGCTGTTTAATTGACACATAAGCTATCTTAGCACATCATAAATCTACGCTATGTTAAGACTATGTCTATCCATGTTTTATAAGTGTCAACCAGGAAGCTATTATAGACTGTAACATTTCAACTGTTTGTGTAAATGTGAGTGTCATTTGTTTGATATTTGTGTTGTGAATAAAATGTTTCATTTGTAACCATTTTTCTTTGTTCATTATCCGGAGTAAAGAACGACAGCTTGTCCAACGTTACACAAAATACCAGAACAGACGGGGTCTTTGATTTTTTAGATATATATCCCTACTATATTTGGCCCCACATCTCTGTCACCAGAAGGGTAGTACCTGTCACTTATAAAATCCAACATTGGATCTCGTTAGCCCCAGATATTCATCAAATGGATCGAAGTCAAAATTCCTTTACCAGTACCTACACGTAAGGAACAGTCTTAAAGAAGCTAAATCCCAATTCTCCTACATTTATACACTTCTGCCATCCTTTGGCCAAGAATTCCTCCTAGCTTCTTTATAAACCTCAATTAACCATTATGAATGATAGCAACATATTAATCATTGACCACTTTATCGTATATTGGTCCAGGCCTCTCTATATCCCAAGAGAACCCTTCATTTACAGAACAACGAATTCTCTTAGATCAGGGATTTTATATACCACACATTAACAAGGCTACAGTATCATCATCCTAACACGATTTCTCCTATTAGACAAAGCGATCAACCCAGCATACAAACGTGATCAACACAGTTTACTTATACGGCATTTAACCTTCTTGTCCGAAGATATTCGTACCAATTATGATAAAATTTCCTCCGTCAATACTAGGTAATAGTTCTAGCCGTTTTAAAGATTTACAAAGATATACCCCCAAGCTTCATTTTATCTAAGTATTCAAACTTGGTTTGTAGGGGATATGATACCCTAATCTCAAATCCCTTCCTCCGTACACATCTACCTAATGATGTTCTTTCCCTGTACCTGGGTATATCAGGGGGAAAGGTGAAGGAGTTGCGCTTAGAAGGTTTGTGGAGCAGAACTTTAAAGTTCCAATGCGGCAATGGCAATAACTCCAGGACAACAGGTTGAATCACATTCTTATCTTCATGCACATATTATGCACCTTCACTGTGCCAAGTGACAAAACAGTCTCATAAACAAGTAAGGAGGAGCTAAGCTTACAAGCTTTAGGGAGAATTGTTTTATAGTTTCAAGGGCCATATCCTACTGAAAAATAATGGAATTAAAAAGTCTGTTCTTCATGTACATTGACATATGATGTACCTTCAATGTGCCAAGTTCCTAAAAAATCCAACAAAACGTGTAAGAGGAGTTGAGCTTACACAGGTCATGAACAGAGGGACAAACGGGAATTCCAATATACCCCGCAAACAAAAACAAAACTTTGTTTGCGGGGTGTATGTATGCATCACTTAATCTCTTCGGCCCAAGGATGTGTGGTACCAATTTAAAGAAAGTAGTCCTTCTAACAGTAGCTGGCCTGTTTCCCCTACAAGACCGGATTCCCCCAACACTCGTGGTAGGACCAGGAACACCTTGATAATTTCCTTTGCCCCAGAGTGCTTATACCAAATTTAGTCATAATCTCTTCTGCTGTTCTGGACTTTTCGGCCTCTGAACGAAAAAATATTCAAATGGATGGATAATTGACAGTGGAAGCTACTCCATGATTAAAGCAATAAGCCCTTGATACAGGTAGAGGTGAAATACACCAATACTGCAATGTATAACAAAACACATTTTAATAGTACTTAACGATTTATTTGAATATAACAATGATAAATATGGTATGAATATAGATTATTGATTATTAAAAGTCTTGGAAAAGTCTTGTTGAGTGTATGGATAAGATGTGATTTAACACAGACAACATGTATCGAAGGATATTTAATCCGATTATACAGTTATCACTTGAAATGTCATTTGGAATGATTAATGACAAACTATAAGGAATATATATCGAACATAAAATAGGACCCTTCAAAATGCATTTTGTAAAGGAAAATTAAAGTGTTTTAACTCAAATATCTTTTAAATAAACATGAATAAATAGCATTTTTTTCATTTATCATTTTAACTTATAAAAGATTTTTGAAATACAATTTGATATGATATTTCTGGTATATACAACAAACATCAATTTCTGCATTGAAATTTCCCCTTTGGTTTCTCCTATTGTATACAGTAAAAGCACATGGACACTGAATAAATACTATGACAAATGCAAGTACACAATCTCTAAATAAGTGAACAAGATGTTTTAATGAAAAATTCCCTGAAGTGACCTTTTTGATAATATTTTGTGATTAGACTAGAAATCCATATGAACAAGATGTTTTTTTGAAAAATGCCTTAAAGAGACCAAGAGACAAAAATATACTGTACATTATGGTAGAGTCAAGGTTGTAATTCTAACATTCCGTTATCTAATGTCTAAAACAACTGAAAATGAAACTGATGTAAGTTGTCATTATTGAGTATTTTATTCAAAATACTTACTAATTATCTCATCAATATGTCCAAAGACATTTCAAACAACAATTGACTGTCCACTCTAAATCGCTATAAACAGATTTAAATCTTTTTGATGCTTTTACTCAACACTCAATAATATATAGCCACTCTACAGAGCTGAACAATTATACAACACATTAACAGTGAAATAGTGAAAAGTACAACGAAATGTTATACCACACAATAGAAAGTTCCCAAAGGGGAACAACTCAGCCAAATCCCGACCTCGTAAGGTTTAAAAGATGAGGCATCATGAATCTACAAGGAGTGGTTAAGATTTCAATGTATTCAACACTATTCTCTCATATTTAGCACAGGTCAATTAAACATAAACTGGTCGACAACACATAACATTCAATGGCGATAAGGCCTAAAAAGTAACCTGTTTTTCCAATTATCTTACAAAGCCTTAAATCTGATTCCAATCATGCAATTTTTAATACAAATTTTATACAAGAACTGTTATATTCAGGTTAATCTCTTTCATTAAACCATTATAAAATGGTTATGAAAAATAAAATAGTTTTCCTATAACAGGTATACCCTATATATTTAGACATTATAGTTTTCACAACTGTTATCAGAAACACGGGTATATTATGATCTGGCCTTAGTGTACACAGAGACTTAAACATTTAATTTACATATTCTGGAATTCTTATCTTGTAAACTAGCGAGCACTATTAAATAAATAGACCTAAGTCTTCTTGACACAGCACCAGCACACAAAATTGAATAGGATTTCTGTTTGTAGATTGTCAGCATAAAAAAAATCCACTGCTGTATGTTACCTGAAATGACAATCAGAACTACATGTATTCCTAACAAAGTAATAAAAATGCAAATTGATAGTCTATGTCATTGTGTTACAAGTCTGGCTCATCTCTATGTATTTGCACATTTATTTAAGATTAGTTTACTGTCCATTACAGATTTTCCGTTGCTAAGAATGGGGCCAAATCAGAAACAATTAGAAATGTAAACTAAAGGTTAACTTGTACTTTAATCTGCTTTACTGACACACTGTCAATGTTCTGCAGAAGGAGCTGAAGCCTATGAGACACAAAAAGGGCAATAACTCTGTAATATTCACCATTTCTGAAAGCTGGATACACATGCATAACTGCATATGGCAAGATATTGATCTTATATTTCCAGACATGTTTAGTGGAACAACATGATTCTGGTACACCTTCACAGCCCCACAACCCTTGTTCACCCCTAACACAGAACATTATAATTATAGGTTTGGGGTGGGCGGAGGGCGGAGGTCAATTTGATAAAAAAACAAATTTTTAATTCCACTATGATACTCAAGGTTCCAATTCTTAAGGTAGGGTATCGGAGTGGAATTCAAGATCTGGTTTTAATCAGATTCGGGGAGTCTTAATCGGGCTGAACATAGTCACCATAGCTACTGACCTATGAGGGTTGTTTAGTTTGTTCTGGTTGGTCAACACTTGACCCTTTGGCTCCTTCTTCCGTCGGTGGTGGTTCAGGTTTTTCCTCGTTTTTATTTCCAACAGCTTTCAGTATCTCACGATTTTCTAAGTGGTCGGCTGGATTTTCTTGTTTGAAGCTCAGCAACAATTTACCGCCTTTTTGGATAAAACAAACAAATATGTGACATCCAAAATGTAGGCATTTCTTTTTAAATGCTAACTATACTTGCTAATAAAGTACATCATGCATATGAACAATCAGATAAGCTTTATTAAACCATTAATTCACAGGGATGAAAATGTATGCAAGAAACAACATATAAACTACGGTTGTGTGATCGCACAACGTACCAAAAATAGCGTGCGCACACAGTGCATACATCGTTCACACACAGTCCGCACTTCATCCACACATGGTGCGCACAACTGTGCGATTTAACAATCGTTCGCCCCGTTGTGCACTACTCTCCGCAATAGGTACAATTTGTTGATCAATATTACGAAATGAAATAAATACGGAAGGCTTGTATGCAATAATGTACATGTACACTATATATTACTGTGATTTCTCATCACAATAATTAAGATTATGTACAAGTTTATAGGTCGTGTTACACAGTATTACAGTGACCGTTAGATTGTCAAGAATGGGTTTGGCTCCTTGGTAACAGAACAGTGAGCATTTTCACAAAAAATCTTACGATAAATTTTACTCGTAAGAGAAAACTTACGATTTTGTTCCGTTTCACAAAAATTCTTATGAGAATCTTAAGTGAAAAATTTATCGTAACTTTACGATAGCTTTACCCCTCTCTTAAGTGTAAAATTTTATCGTAAGTGTAAATAAATATAATGATTTTAATCATAATTTTAAATAAACAGGCTGCTATACGTTTGGTTTGAAAATAAATTAAAAAGCGATGTATCGTGAAAGGTTTTTCGAGGCAGATTTAACCAACGCACCTAAGCCATGCCCTATTTCCAACAAAACAGTATAGATGTTCCATAAGGGACCATGCTAGTTTTAAGCACACAACGACAAATTTAATTGCATTTATTAATAGATGAATAGTAAGTATGTTTGGTCTGACCGTTCTTGATGTTTAAATCTGATCGGTGTATTGTGAAAATCACACACGACCTATTCCTCAATCAGGAAATCTCAGTATCATACAAAATGTATACTTAGTACATGTATGTATATAACTTACACAGCATATAGCCTAACGTTAGTAGGCCTACAGGCAAATTCATCACATTAGTACGGGTTTCAGTTAATAATTCATCCAAATAAGCATGTACCAAAATGCCGATCTGCACCAGTACAGAAAAAGATTTGACTGAAATGTCTACAAATAAACAATGTTGTAAGCACGCCTGAATGACGTCACGCAGCAATAATGTGATGTCATCACGCCGTCCGTGGTTTTGCTCAAAGATGCAGGCAACTTAAAGCATTTCACTAATTTTCAAGTAATGTAAATGTTTATATGTATATTTTTTTTTGTATTTTAATGTTACACAAGTCGTACTGGTACATGTACGAGCAGCTCAAATCATGCGCGTGTATCAAAGATTAAAATTGAAATAAATGGCTTTCCTTAGTTGTGAAACTTTCAGTTATTTTCGGTAAAGGAAGTGATAAATACTGTTTAGGTTAGATAGATGGGGTCGGTTGAAATGAGATTTAATGTACATGCATCTCAATTGAGACTTAGTCCTTAACAAATCCAAACTTCTAAATCAGTGCCCAAAATTATTATGATTAATTTGTATCGGGACCGGAGCTTTCAATGGCCGTCTTTTCACCCCGACTTTTGAATAAATTTGTCACATGTACATCTCCGATCGTCTTTCACGTTAACAGAGACTGTCCCATGTGTTGTAAATGTAGTTACTTTTCTATGTAAACATTGTAAAATTGAAAATTGATAATGAGCTATCAAATATTTCTGAGCGTAAACAAGCATTGGGTCGTCAGTACATTGTATGTACCACAGTGCAACACTATTAGAAAAACCGATTTACTTGCATTTACGGCACATTCGACCATAAAACTGCCATTAGTGTTAAGATATGGTATTTTCAATTTGTTTGTAGTAGCACCAACACAGGTCACAGAGTACGATTTACTATGTTCTTGTAGCCGATAAATACAATGTTTCTAAAGAAATATGGACGTAGTATTTATAAAGGTGTGTTAGAATAAGGATAGTTTTCCGAGTCTATACTGTCGGTCTTGAGTTAAAACCAGATTTTATGTTCTAATCGTCAGTATGTTAGACACTCAAAAAGACACGCTATCCCCTAATTAGTATTCAAAATACCTTCACTGAATGAAAGTTATCTTATTTACAAATTAGTATCAAAAACAATTATATTTATAATTCTGTTGCAAGCTACTCCACACGCATCACCCCTATGCGGATGAAGCCCCCCCCCCCAAAAAAAAATAAATAAATTGCAAAGTGACTACTTCTCATGGGTCATATGATGTTTTCAGTTTTTGTTATTAGCTAAAATTGTATTTTAATAACATTATAAATAAAATTCTCCTCGCTCCGCTCAACATTAAAGATTAGGTAACATAACAAAAAAATCCGCCTTGATCCACATAACCCAGACTTGTATTATGATTTTAGAGAATCAATTACTACATGTAGTATTTCTATGAATTGGTTTGACCACAATCTCATATAATTGAATCACAAAAGATCACCGAAAAAGACCTTTTAAAAATAAGATTAAATTTAAAGACACTAAAAATCAACTCGATATCTTTTTTTTTTATAGATATATATATTTTTAAGTGTATTATAAATGATTTTAAGGGTTAAACGGTTTTTAGGCGTGTCAAAGGTTTGTTTAATAAAAGAACAAATCGCCTCGCTACGCTTGGCAGTGATATTTAATCATATTGGAATTTGTTCAATGGAACTGCTTCGATTGGGCAAAAATGTTATATTAAAGAGAGAGAGAGAGAGAGAAAGAGAGAGAGAGAGAGTGTGTGTGAAATAGATTTTTGTGATATTTTCAAAAATTAAAGGATACGCCTTTGCCTAAAAAATAAAGAAAATACATGATTTTGTATCTTTATTTACATGTGTTTTTCTAGGATATTGACCCTCTTCATAAAATCGTGGATCCACGCCTGTTGTGCCCCCTCTAACTGTAAAACCCGTTATCAGAAAATGCTTTCCTCTTCACGTTTATGTTAACCGGAAGCATGTGTAACGCTTGCGCAAACTAAGCAAATGTCAATGTTAGGGAGAATTTTTCTCATAAGTCAAATCGTAAGTGCATTCGTAAATAAAAATCTTAAGAATTGTCTTACCAATATTTTTCTACTTACGTGAAACTGACTTAAGAGTTCTCTTACGATAATCGTAACTAAAAATCTTACGACAAATCGTAAGATTTTTTGTGAAAATGCTCACAGGTAAATAACATTTTGATGAGTGACCAGAGTTTTACCTTGCCTGTGCCCGACACATATAGCTGATGTGTGAAACCGTATGACCGTTATGAAAACACAACTGGCCAATTAGTATTTGTTATTTGCATTCAGTTTGGCTTATAGATCCCCTTCACCTGGATTTTCACACCCCGATGAGTTACGTAAGTGCCCCGGGCAGGCACAAGTATGGTCAAGGTTCATGTACAAAGTGGTTACATGGTATGTTTACCTGTATACGGGAACTGTACTCTAATTTTACATGTCGATTAAGGTCATTCAAAAAACACCGAAAACACCATTTCTAAATTCAGAAAGGTATAGAGAGAAAATTTAAAGATAAGCTTATAGATGCAGCTAGTATATATATAGCACATACTTAAAAATCAAGTTTATATGTTTAAACACGAAACCGTATATATTGTAAAAGCATTCCTCAATTTACACCAACCACGATTGTTTTCGCATAACATTCGTCCATCGTGCGCACAAATGTGCGCAAGTAATGATCGTCCAATTTTTCATCATTCACACATCGTGCACACACCGTGCACACATCGTTAACACACCATGCGCCCTCCACACATCGTGTAACGCTGTGTGTTCCCACAACTGTATGTGTGTTGAAGGTTCGAAGCAATGGTAAATTGATATGATGGCTAACTTCATGGCCACTTGAAATTGCTGGTGATTGGCTCAACTAGCACCTCACCATATTTTAAAAGTCATTTTAGAATTCAGTGTTACAAGAAAATTTACTTGCCCTGAGGGTTTGTTCCCTGAAAAATTTATCAATTATCCCAATAAACAAATGACTGGCCTGGGCTAGCTGAGATCCAGTGGCTTAATTTTTACCTTGGTCCAGTGTCAAAATTAATCTTTCATGAGATTTCATAATCATCAATAGTCTACTTTAAAATGACAAGGAAATGTATAACTTGTGCAGAACATAATGTAGATGATTTTATCTTTAAGAATGTAAACTTCTGCAACTTTGCATCACATATGACATATTCCTGGGGATTTTCCCAAAAAATTACAAATTTTCATTGTTCAATGAAGGTCAATGAGAATTAAAGAAAAAATGACACTCACAACCCTCACAATTACTATATACATGTATACAACTTTAAGAAAATATTTTAAAAATTAAGTGCCCTTCACAGTAAGATTGTTCTTACTAATACTGCCAACCAATTTTATTAGTACAACACAGAAATGAAATTAGGTTGTTTCAATTTGTTAAGAAATCATGCAAATGTACTAAGAAGATTGTCCATGTCAATGCCCTTCACGAAAATCTACTTAAAAATAACAAGCTACCACTTGTGGACTCCGTTGGAAAAATTGGAGATAATCAAAGAAATATTTTACAGTTATCTCCCTTTGACTACCCTGTGAATCCATGGGCTTCCAACTGGTTTGTCTACATTTGAAATGTAATATTTAAGGGGTAAAACCTTATGCACTTGCAAAAAAATCATTGTGAGATATAAGATCACATGGTCCATCCCTATTTCACAGACAAATAGCTCTTGTTGCATAAGGTCTTACCATCTGGAATGCAATAAATAAAAGCTGCCCTGATGTTCACAAGCATATACAGACAGGTCTAACAGCAATAGTGGTACATATGGTATTAGAACTATAACAATTAAGGTTATTCATACTTATGGCTGTTGCAGAATTTGTTTTCTTCAGATACCCCACCACCGATAAAATCTTAAAAGTGATTTTATATAAGAAATGGTACAGTAGACATTTCTGGTTTTATCCCCCACAACCTATATAATACAGGTGTCTCCCACCTCACCCACATAATCAATTCTGGAAACGCTCTAAGCTTCACGTTAAAGTTTCCAGGTGGAGCTAAAAAAGGAGTTAAATGTCTTCTCTATCACTTAGGGAAATTAGGCTGCTATCCAAGATTTCAAATGAACACCTCCCCTACAAGCAAGCATAACACTTAAAGGCTAAGTTTGATTTAAACACAAACAGGAATGGAAAACTATTTTTTTGAGCTTTCAAAAACGTCTGTTTCCTTCATCAGGCAAAGAGTGCAAACTCATTTTGCACTCTTTGCTTGAAAGGTTCAAAAGCATAACACTTGTCAAGTACTATAAAAGCATTATTTATAATCTGTTTTATATGGTCTAGGTAGCTGGCTTAGTGGAACTTTGGAAGAATTGCAAGATGTTTCAGAAATCCCTTCAGAAGAATTGCAAGATGTTTCAGAAATCGGAGGCCAGTGCAGCAATGTTTTGATGTAAAATCAGCCCAGAGATGCTTTGCACAAAATCTTTTAAAGGTTTAATGACGTTAATGCACAATACGTGTTAATATTTCTATTTATGAGCATTAAAATGCAATAGAACCGAACCCAGCGGCTTTGTCCTATTTCGACAACTTCCCACCCGCTACACTATTACACTATAATAGTTCTTTTACAATTAGTTTTTTGTGGTAAATTATATTGATATGGGATCATTGTATTTTCATAGATGACTGGTGAGGTTTCTTATAGGAGGGGGGAATAATATGGTAAATACTGTAAAGAGTTGTAATGTTATTTATAGTTTTGTATTTGGAAGAGTGCTCCCTCAGTTTGTGTAAACACACATCATCTTCACTTAAATGTATTACATGTATACCTGTTTCCACGATGAGTATCCCTCCGTTCTGCATTCCGTCTCCTTTAAGATTGCCATCTATCTTCTCTTTTTTGGCCTGAAATCATAATCAGATATTGTCACCACCACGAACACGTGATTACCGTATTTGCCACATTTGCCAATCCTCCCCTTATAATCAGCCCCCTTTTCGGGAAGGAATTGAAATAATAAAGACAACGTCTCCACCAAGTCCTGACCAGGTCTGGTCATTGGTACTTCCTCTTTTAAAGCAGAGATTTATGTCTGGTGATCATGGACAGACATCCCGTGAAGTGGATGAAACTTTTGATTCTAAACCTTCAGCCACACTGGAATGTTTGTAATGTCCTTCAGTGATATGAACAATTGAAAGTGCACATCTTTTTTTATTAAACATTTTCTTCAGGTTTGTAAGTATGGATTATGAAAAGATTCTTGTTACACAACCAATAAGTGTTTTTATGTGATGTTTCGATGACTAGTACGGTATGTACACTGTCACCTTCATCAGACAAATGACTAGTGAAGGGTATGTACAACTTTTTTTTATGAAGCTTACATTTTATTATCTTGATATTTTCAGCCATTTCTAAGCGCCCAGGTTGCTAATTACGGCGAATGTGGTATGTCAAATATCATAACTATGTTCTTATGTAATCATGTTATTGTAACTGAAGGGAAAACATCAATCAACATGTACGTATACCCTAAGTACAGGGGCACAGCACAGATCCCTATCTCCACGGTCCTTATATATGTATGATATATGTGAACTTTGGGTTGGAGGATCTTTGTCATACCCCTTAAGCTTTGACCCATTCTGGTATTCAACCCTCAATTAGCCTCCAGTATGAATGGTCTGACTAATAAAGTGATCTACCAGCATATTAAATATAAAGTCCCTGGTGATTAACAATGACCTGGTCTTTAAACAAGAGGCCCAGAGGGCCTGTATCGCTCACCTGGATACCTAAGCAATCATGATCATGGCAAACTATTCTCAAAATGAGATCAAGGGAATAGGCCAGACCCCAAGGCCAATCCTTGTAGCATAGCTATATTACATTTTTCATGCCCAGCAATTTTATGTATGGTTTTGGGGTGGGGATCTCAACTGTTTCCAAGCTTTGACTCAGAAACTAGGTCCCTAGAGTTGTGGCCAGACCACAGGATCGATTCTATTGTGACTGCATTTGTCTCTTTTTGCCAAGCATTTGTATATATAGTTTTGGGGTGGGGATCTCAATCGTTTCAAAGTTATGACCCAGGGGCCAAGTCTGCAAGGGTGGGGCAGACCCTGGGATCAATTCTAATGTCATGACTGCATTCGTCTCTTTATGCCCAACAATTGTATATATTGTTTTGGGGTGGGGATATTAACCATTTCAAAGTTATGACCCAGGGGTTAAGTCTCCAAGGGTGGGGCAGTCCCCAAGGCCAACCTGGAAGCATATGTGCAATCATCTCTTTATACTCAGCAATTGTATATATACGGTTATAGGGTGGGGCTCTCAACTGTTTCCAAGCTGTGACTAAGAAACTAGGTCCCTAGGGGTTCGGTCAGACCCCAGGGTCTATTCTGATATCATGATTGCATTCGTCTCTTTATGCCCAGCATTTGTATATATAGTTTTGGGGTGGGGATCTCAACCGTTTTAAAGTTATGGCCCAGGGACTATGTCTCCAAGGGTGGGGCCAGACCCTAGGGACATCCTGGAAGCAAATGTGCATTCTTCTCTTTATACTCAGCAATTGTATATATGGTTATATGGTGGGGATCTCAACCATTTCCAAGTAATACATTTTATTGGCCCCACCCCTTAGCCCGGGGGGTCAGCCCCACCATTTGTACAATTTTGAATCCCTGCCTCCCATGAATACTTCCGACCAAATATGATCAATATCCATGGCATAGTTCTGCAGAAGAAGTCATTTATAGCAATATAACCAAATTGCCCCCTTTTGGCCCCGCCCCTCAGCCCCCTGGGGGGTCAGCCCAACCGTTTGTACAATTTTGAATCTCCACCACCTAGAGATGCTTCCAGTCAAATAAGGTTGATATCCATCACTTAGTTCCAGAGAAGAAGTCACTTAAAGCAGTATAGCCAAATACCCTTTTTGGCCCTGCCCCTCAGCCCCCTGGGGGGTCAGCCACACCATTTGTACAATTTTAAATCCCTGCCTCCCAGGAATGCTTTTGATCAAATATGATTGATATCCAGTGCACAGTTCTACAGAAGAAGTCGTTTGTAGCAATATAGCCAAATTGCCCCCTTTTGGCCCCGCCCCTAAGCCCCCTGGGGAGTCAGCCCCACCATTTGTACAATTTTTAATCACCACCACCTAGGAATGCTTCCAGTCAAATATGGTTGATATCCACTTCCTAGTTTCAGAGAAGAAGTCGCTTAAAGCAATATGGGCAAATTGACCCCTTTTGGCCCCGCCCCTTAGCCCCCTGGGGGGTCAGCCCCACCATTTGTACAACTTTGAATCCCCACCACCTAGGGATGCTTCCAGTCAAATTTAGTTTAATTCCAACCAGTGGTTAAGAAGAAGAAGTCGTTTAAAGAAATTGTTGACGTACGGATGTACGGACGGACGACGGATGTACGACGGACGCCACGGTATGGCATAAGCTCACCTTGGTCCTTCGGACCAGGTGAGCTAATAATAAATTTGTGTAATGTGTCATTGGTTATTTACAAAGGACTGTGTAATTGTATTGCGTATTCCTGATCATGCGTAAACCATAAAAATGAACCCGATATATTTCAAGTTTCAATGAAACACGTATTAAAAAAAATTGAGGAAAGGCAATCCTTAAAACTACATTATTCATTATCCAATGATATGACGACCATTTGAAATCAATTTTAAAATGAGGCAAAATCGATAAAATCTCATTTCAAAAACTTGCTTTTAATTTATTACAGTTCAGCTAAATGCTTGATCAAAGCCCAGATGCAGAAACAGGCCTTGGTATTACTGTGTCTGGACACAACAGGCCGTGGTATTACAGTGTCTGGACACAACAGGCCTTGGTATTACTGTGTCTGGACACAACAGGCCTTGGTATTACCGTGTCTGGACACAATAGGCCTTGGTATTACTGTGTCTGGACACAACAGGCCTTGGTATTACTGTGTCTGGACACAACAGGCCTTGGTATTACTGTGTCAGTGTCTGTGAGTGCTGATATGGCAGCACCCGGCTGTACACTCCCCAGGGAGTTGGGAAAGATATTGGCTGGTTGCAAAGGCCCTATAACCACGGATAATAATTTGTGAACCGCTTTAAGACGACCTACAAACTAGGTTGTGATAAAGCCGTATATAAGAACCTCAAATTATTATTATTAACGGAGCAACAGATCAATTTTGTATCTTCAATGTCCCCTTAAAAAACGACACTGATGAAAACCCTGATTTGTCAGGAGGCCCCAATTATCAGATCACAATTAACTTGTTCTCAGGAGATGCTTAAACGTTTTCATCATCATATAAAGAGTTAGCTCTTGTGCACGAGATATACACTTGTTTGCACAACATAGTAGATTGTGCCTGGGAGGTATTACCTGGTTTGTACAAGATAAATATAATCAACTTGTGTGAACGAGACAAAAAAAATATCATTTTGTCCCCCACGAGGCTCCATACCTTTTAAATGGAACAGAAATTTTACTTCAAAGCTTTGAAATTGTGTGAGCATTACATTGTAAATCTACTTAACAATCTCATATGGCAGATTGCATCTTTCCCTCACACACAACAGTAGCCGAAAGCATCTCACTTAATAGCCTACAATCACACATACAAACCTGTCTAAAAAGTATTATCAAAGTTTCAACATTATTTTAATGTAGCTTAAACGAAATAAATACTTGATTAATGTACTATACTAACTGTATATAAAATACCTGTAAACTGATGTTATGACATCATCAAGTGTACAGATATTGTGTAGGTTAATACTGATTCAATTACCTTTCTCACCAAATCACAACCACTATACATTGCAGGCGCGGATTTAGGGGGGGGCACACCCGGCCCCGGCCCCCCCTTTAGGCGGCGGACTGACCTTTTCCGGGCCGGCCCGAAATGGTCTGATCGGCCGGGAATGGGAACATATTAACATTTTAAAATGCATCAAATAATGCACGGAGCTTGTATAAAAAAATCTGGGGCTACGCCCCACACATCGTATTTTAAGTATGGCCCAAAGACTTTTTTTGTGTACTGGAAAGAAAATTTAAGTTTCGGTTCAAATTCTCTATCAACAGCGTGTTTTAGAAGTCAGATGGTATTATTATAGGGGCAACCTGGTGATGACAAATGTATGAATGCACAGGGGGCTTGTTCATTATTAACTAATTTGGCGTTCCGCCCGCAAGGGGGATATGAGAGGTCCGCCGTCAAAAAATAAATGTAGGGACGCACAATATCTAGTCTTCAGACATTGTACCTACAGTACAGTACTTCATGTAATAGTTTGTCGTACAAAAGAACAAATAACACCATAACATCGTTGCTGTTTAATTAATGATTTACGCATGGCATCACTAAGTTGCTAAACAAACGGATAAGTTCAAATCAGTGCGACACCCAAGGCCACTAGCTATATAGTCCCGCGTTTTATAATTGTTGACTAATTCACTAGTGTAGACAATGATATATCTGAAATGTCCACGCTGATTAACTCATGCAAGGGCGTGCATATTACCAACAGTGGTACATTTGCTAAGCTATCTGGTTTAAATGGTACAACTTAGGAGGCACATACGCATCACCTTTAAATTTAATTTAAAATTATCATACTTGTAAGTACAGCATATCATCTGTTACGTACAACTTATTACTACGTACTCAATAGTATGCTGTGTGAAGATACTTTCTTGTACGTACACGATGGTAATTAAACATAAAAACAATCCTCAGAACACAGGAAATCGCTTCTGAGACGTTCTAGAAAACACAATTTTTTGGGGGGAGATCCCCCAAACCCCCCTTACGGCAGGGGGAAGACCCCCTCCCGCACCCTCCCTCTCCTCGCGCTACGCGCTCTGGGTGCTGCCTTCGG